TAAAAAGTCAAAACGTCTAAATAGGTTTCGACATTCGACAGTTGTCAATACTCTGAGGTTTCGTCAAGCAACTATAGCACATAACGTTTCATAGTATGTGTAATCTACAAAAATGAACAGGTAAATATAGTGATTTATTTTCATAAAAAAATTATATAATTATAAGTATACTAATTTATGTGTGATGTGAATCAATTACTGTTTTGGCTTCTCCCACTTTCAGAAACATCCATTTCTTTATAGAAATATTATATCAACTCTTCTAATACGCTAAAATAATTATCAGCTTAGTATTGTGATAATGAGGACTATTATTAGAAATAATAATCACCTACTAAGGTTTATTGTCCAGTGTATCAATAACAGCATGTAAAGACGTTACTGTAAACTGGACGTCTTATTTTGTATCACTTGACCAATGATCAAATACACTAATATTCAGATTTCTATTATCTTCTAATTTAGTATAAATCAGCACTGAATGCAAAGTAACTCCACGTTTTCCATAAAAGTTAGCTTTAGTTTTACATGCACTCTGTGGATTAACACGCATTTTATAATCAACAATATAAGTGCACCATTATGATCAAGTTCACCTTTTAATTGCTGATTCAGATAAATTTTTTGTGTATGATGAGCCATAAAGTATAATAATTTTTGTTAGTATATCTTAAGAGATTGATGGCATTCAGTTGGTAAAATTTGGTGAAGTTTGTCAAAAAAGCTAAATGTTTTATTTATACAGGTATCAGGATGTGAAAGATTACAATTATCAAATGCATGCTGTAAATAATGACTAATTCATAAATTATGTATTACCTTTCCAAAATCATTTATTTCTAAGTTATTTTCAAAATGTCATCTCAAATATTGATAGATTAGCTCTAGTTCTTTAAATAATATTTTCTATCGATAACAGATATTATAAATATATAGTAGGTGCAATAATACCTGTTTAATAATATTCTCTATATGTTTTTTAATGAGTTTTCATATCTGTTTAAAAACTTCATATCTATTTTCATTACAAATAGAATATAAACCACCTAAATTTTCACAATATACAAATCTTCCTTCTTCAAGTCAGATCATAAATGCAGTATAATGTATTTCATTAGGATACTTTTTATCAAATTTTTCCCATAATGCTTTTTTATGATTCTGTAAATAAAGAATTGGTAGTTTAGTCTTTTATAAGAGCTCATACTCATATGAGCTTTATCTGTAAAAAACTCATCAAACTGTGCTAATTGTTCTGGTTTAAATTTTTTTTTTTACAAATTATAGGCTTTTCTAATTCAGGTACACCATATCCATTTATCTATGCGTAATGGTTCACTTCAATGATTGTATGACAATCAACCTGTTTCAATAAAATATTAAATAATGTATTTTTATATAATAATAATAAAATCAGTATTTATTTTATAACTTACTTTCAAATTAGATTCCATTTCAGTGCATGTAAATTGATTTGCAATTATTAAAAGAATTCAGCATTTTTCATCATGAGATTTATTGTTATCTTTTAGTGCGTGATTCATACAATTTCAGAAAGTTTTAGTTTTTATTGACATATATATAGGTGTAGGCATGAGAAATTCAGCTTTATACAATTGCAATAATGCATTCTTATCTTTTTTAGGATTAGATGATTTCGTCTAAACTGAAACTGTAATAAAAATAAATATTAAAAATATGGGAAAAAATATTTTGCATTGAAATTTTCTTTACAAACCTTTGATTCTTTTGATTTAAATAGAGTAATATTGTAACAACCTGCAGCTTTTAAAAATGATTGCTATGCACTAATTTTACGATTTTCAAATATATGATACACAGGATATGTAGTTTTAAAAATTGAATAAATTTCAATTATATCGCTTTCTTGATTTATCCATTTATCAAATAAAAGCTTTCAATTTACACTAGAAATAGTGTGTCTTCAAAGATAATAATTATAAAGTGAAGTCATTATCTCTAAATTATTCCAGTCTTGTATTGAACAAGTAGGTATATGATGCTTTATGATATATTGTATAGGATCACAAAGTCCAAATAATTTATAACCTTGAATCTTCTGAATATATTCTGATTTTTTCCACACTTCATTTGGACTAATATTATTACTAAAACTATGAATTTTTTGATTGAATTGATAAATATCTAACATACATTTATTTTCTTGAATTTGTAAAATGAAAATGGCTGGTTTTTTTCCTAATGGATAAATTATTGACAAAGTAAAACCATTGCTAGCATTATATCACTTTGAATTGGATGATTTACTGATACTAAAAACAAATACTTTATATTTTTCAATGTTAATAATGATAGGAAAAAAACAAATATCTTGAGAAATTTGTTTTATTATATTATCATCATCAAGACCAATTATTATGTATCCCGAATAGTGTGTATTTGTTTCAAAAATTTTTGAATACAAAGAAGAAATGGCTTTAGTAGATGATATTTCTATATTACTTGAATATTTGTCTAACTTACTAACCCAGCCTGGAAGTCAGAAATTTTCACTGTTTTCTACTACTACACTAACTAAAAATTCTCTTTCATTAAGAAAAACACGCGTTTTTTACCTAACATGTATTGGAGCTAAATGTTTTGAATGTTATGCCACCAAAAATGAGAATATAGACCTATTGTAAGTCTTCAACATTGAATCTAATGTTATTAAAATAACTGAAGTGTTTTTGTATTTTGACATTTAAGAAGTAATGGTGAAACTGTTTGAGATTTTGAGCTTTTTAGTAAAAATATAGTGTTATTAATCCTTAATTTCATATGATCGTCACATGATTTTGGTGCTGATCATAAGCAGATCAGCAATTAAATAAATACTTTTATAATTAAAATAAATTAATACTTTTAAAATTATAATAATATTTAAATTATATACAACTTTTCTAATATATACAAATTATATATAGTATTATCTGAAAAATAGGATATTATTTTTAGGTAAGAGGTTGAGTTTATTACGTTACAAACTTTAAGTTGATTTAATGAAATATTCTTAATTGTTACTACTACTCGTCATTAAAGATTATAAATTTATCAAAACCTTTTAAGCTGAATCATATAATGATTCATTTAAATATAAAAACTTAATGAATTGTAATAGAAGTAATATATAAGCAGATTACACAAACATTATGAGAAAATAATAAAAGAATAATTTTATTAAATATAAAATAAAGTGTTTTATTAAAATATTATAAGATTGCACAATTATCATTACTAATTCTTTACGTTACATATTTCCTAAATTAATAAATTAATTACTTCAATATCACCTGTTTTTAATAATCTAACTTGTTCTTTTTATATATTTTAAATTGATTTAAATTACAGATATATTAAATAATTATTACATAAGGATTACTTTCAATTATCTAATCATTGCATAATTATTACCATATATTTTAACTATATCATGACTATGCAAAATTACTAATTTCTTAATTATGATTTAATATTTTTTTCATAATTACTACATTTACTTTTAATTTTTAGATGTGACATATCATATTACATAATACTAATTTCATTAATTGATATTTTAATTTATAATTATATTTTCATTATGAAATCACTTGCTACTGTTTTTTGATAATAAATATTTAATCATATTTTTTGTATCACTTTCTAGTTATGTGATTTATTATATTTTATTTTACTTGAGTAATAATAAATTTTAAATTAAAAAACTTCTTTATATATAATATTTTTGTATATACAGTCACATCTCAATATAATGAAGTTAATGTCTAGGCTGATCAGCCCTTCGTTATAAGAAAATTTGTTATTACTATAATAAATTATTCAGTATAATAAATGATTACTGAAAAAGAAAAATACAAACATAATTTTACTATGATATAATTAAAGTTAATTTTATAATGTCATTTATAGAATAACCTCTTTGTGATTAAAGTAAAAGTGATCTTGAAGCAATTTTGGTAATGCAAAAATTGAAATTAATCTTAAATAAAACAATTTATAATGATAATATAGGATAATATAAATTTATTTTTAAAAATTTTGAGATCTCTTCATTAAACAAAAGAAAAAAGTAAGAAAATTTATTAATGATGGTTTAAAATACAATTAATTAATATTAT